CAAAGAAAGATATTCACCTCAAACATATATTTTATAAAACTATATGGAACTTTCACACACAAGTTAGTTTCCATTGACTAACATGCTTAGGCACAAATGGTCATTCATACCAAGTTGTGGACAAGTTCACATTACAGACATTTCAGCAGTGATACATATGCCCAAGAAAATATATCCATGTGTGGTCACAATCACAAACTTTACTCATAAATAACCACACTATAGAATACACAAAACATCTAGATACAGCACCTATAAAAAAAGTCACACAAATCCATGTTAGTTATCTTCCTAACTGAAATACATGCGAACACACACTATCCAGATGTACCTTCACACATGCTGGATTTATTTCTCACAAATATATATTTTCTTTCTCACACATACCCCTTAGAGTCTCTCCCCCCATCTATTCAGAGAATTGCATATATCCTAGTCAGATATACCCACATTGTCACCAGCCCCAACCCTAGACATATACACATTCATTCCTTCTCACACTCATCACTCAGATACACCCACTGTCACACATATACCCAACACCAATATACTCACACTTTCATACACATTCCATTTACATACATCCATTCTCATGTATAATCACCTCAAATATGCTTACACTTACAGTCACTCTATCCAATTAAAGTCACACTATACAATCTCTAACTTAGCATCCCCACATTCTTACATACAGTGTTTAGATACACTTAAACTTAACCCCACCCCACTTGGAGCCCTCATACCTGTCTTAAGTTTACTTACAATCTTTTTGAAATGCACACTATCAAAATACACCCAAAGTGACACATGCACCCAAAACACTGCCCTTGTATACACCCCACCTAGACATATTCACAATTTCCCAAGCTAAATATGTGCACAGCAAGACACACACACACACACACACACACACACATTCATATATCACCAAGATACTGTTCTAATGTAGAGAACTCACATTCAAACACAAATTTTGTTCAGATGTACATTCATACTGTCTCACATTATCTGTGTCTGTCTGTCTGTCCTCCTGCCTGCCTGCCTGCCTGTCTGCCTGTCTCTGTCTCTGTCTCTCTCTCTCTCTCACACACACACACTGCCACCTAAGTATATTCACGCATTCAAATCTATTCTATTCCAAATGCACCCACACATTGTCTTGAACACAGTCTGGATGCATTCATATACTTACTCTCATATATCATCAGGATACATCCACATCTCATAAACATGTATCATCCCAATACTCATATTCTCAGGTTCACTGAGTCCACTGATGTAAACTGGATGAGTGTATGAAGAAAGCGTTTAAGGCACATCTGTGTGGGAAGTACTGTGCAGAGTGTGGGTTGGGTACATCCATATGGTGTGGAGGAGATGAAAGCATGGGTGTATTTGGATAGTAGGTTTGTGTAGAGGTATACACAGATTGTTTGTGTGACAGCTGAAAATATTTGGGTGGGATGTGTGTGTGTATCTTTGTGTTTCAAAGAATCCTTGCCTTCCTATCATACACAATTATCTCCCATGTAATTTCTTACATATACATACTCTACATACTCAAGTCCCCCATACCTACTACTTCCCTAAGATAAACTGTCCCTTATGCATATTTGTTAACATCTAGATTTCTGCCTGGTGGCATAATTGGGGTGCTCTCTGTGAAATGTCCAGGTGCACATCATTCATACTTTCTCACATTATCTGTCTCTCTGTGTGTCTCTTTACACACACACACACACACACACACACACACACACACACACACACACACCCTATCCAACCAAAGCTCTTACTAACCCTGGGCACTATTATGATGCCATCCTGTCCTATGGCAGTGGTGAGATGGGAAGGGAGATTTTTATGTTTCAAAGTTTCATCACTGCCCCTGATGGTCATTAGTGAGCATGTGGAGAATACTGTGCAGAATATGAGTGCATCCATATGGTGTGAATGAGATGAAAGCATGGGCGTATTTGGATAGAAGGTTTGTGTAGAGATCAGTCTGCACAAGACCAAAGGCAAATCTTCTATCAGACAGGCAGGTACACAAATACTCTTATTTATCCACACAGGCACATATGCTTGGACTTAGTCACAAGTATATCCACTTACTCTTTTAAATAGGCTATATTCATATGACTTACTCATGAATGACATGCATTCACTCACAAACACAAGGTGTACACAGGTGTACTTTTACATATCTGTAGAGATATGTAAAAATATATGTATCATATCTAAAGAGATGATAAAGAAACAGGGGCACAGAAGAGGGAGCTCCTGAACAGGTATACATATACATTCAAACATAACCACAGAAGTATATTAGCATGCACACATACATACATACATACATACATACAGACAGACAGACAGACAGACAGAGAGACATATCTATATAGGTGTGCTCACACATATCCATACCCAGATATGCAAATGCTTATAAATGAGATGATGTAAACCTATGTGAATATTCTAATACATAGACTTGTATGTACAACTGGCCATGTACATACACAGCATATTCACATGCTTATAGACTTGTACATACATTAATTCATTCTTATATGTATACAATTAACTATAGAAACACAGATACTCACAAAAGCACATGATCACAGTCAGGCATATATATACCATTACATTCATACACCCATTCTGAGAAGCCACATAAATGAAAGAACAGTAACTTATATTACATTGGAATAGGACACAAAGGCACATTTCAACACATGCACATATAGGACACTCATGTATTCTTGCACATGCATAAGATTTGATCAACTTATCACATACACACAAGCAAAGATATCTTAAATAGATGCATAGACACACATACACACAAATGATCTTGTCAACTGAGAGTGGCATGCGCATAGATTTATATACATTATTCTGTAATATATGCTTTAGACAAAAGATAAATACAAACATACAAGTGCAAATAAGAACTGTGCAAACTGGTACTTTACACATTTGTGTACTAAGACAGGCATACACACAGGCCTTTTAGATATACACTTATTTGTGTTTGACCACACATGCCCATGTACAGATATGTTCACTTGAATATATGCACAATCAGGTATTAACAGATACTAGCATATATATGCACAGTCACTCAAGACATATTCAAATACACAGTCACACTCAAAAATTCAAATAAAACACATAGTGAGACACATGCATCCAAGTATTATGAAATGTGGTTACTCATGCATACCGTAATCAAATATGCACTTGCACCAAATTAGACATCATAAAAATGTAATCATTCACCTATGCACATAGCCTTGTGAGTATTGTAAACCCCACAGTCATATTAAAAATGTAGTTCAATGTGCACACATAAAATATTTTTCATTCATCTACTCTTCCCTTATCCCAGTGTGACTATTTATACTTACATTTCTTTAAATAGATATGAACACATAGGTTTGTTGAGAGACAGTGAGCACTCACATGCACATACAGACATAGTCATAATGAAAAATGCTAAAGAATCTATAGAGACTTTCACACACAGGCATATTCACACAAATATATGACAGGGACATGCACAACACATATAAGCATGTACACACACATCCTCTCCTATATGCACGGGACACAGGTATATGTCTTTTTGCTCACACACATTATTTAGATGAACCCACACTGCAAGGCACATGTGGGAAAACAGGAACATACACAAAAAGATCCAACTAGGCATTCATTTGCTTGGACATATAGACTCAGACACTCATATACATATGACCAGACATGTGTGTTCAAAGATAAATTGATACCACACACACATAAACAAACATTCAACAGGCCTAATATAGGCTCAGAGTAACACATCAATACTTGGGTCAGAATCAAACATGACCATTTGCTCGCCAGATATGCAAAACCATGCCCTCCAGTTCAGACACAAACCTATCCAGACACCCACACAATCCCATATGTCATCACATAGCCTGTACACACACACACACACACACACACACACACACACACACACACACACACACACACAGAGTGCAGTGATGATACATGCACACACATTATACATGCAGTCATTTTTTTCATGTATATGTTTAGTTTCAGGTCCAGATGCCTCTGGACAACAGGTTAGGTCCTCTCCCCTCCACATCAAATGGTTCTTCAGGAAAGTCTACTCATGTCTAAAGGTCCTAGCCCTCCCTGTCCTTCCTAGGAAATCTGTCTTCAGTCTCTCCCCTCTTTTGGCTCCTCTGCTGATCCCTATCCCCTTGGTATTCTACCACATCTCCATATCTAGAAACCAGCTAGGAAACCCCTCTCTCCCCTGCCCAGGGTCTAGATGGGCAGACTCTGCTCCAGGTCTCGTTACTGCATGGACCACACCCCAGCTCTACTCAAAGCCCTATAATCTCAAAAGCTTCAGCCTTGTCTCCAGTCCCTGCCAACCACTGACCATAAGCCAAACTCTTGCTAATTTCCCCTCAACAGAGGGACACATACCGGGGCCAGGAATGCTGCAGGCTGTAAGCCAGACCTCTGCTGGCTCACAGTCTGGTGTGTGTGTGTGTGTGTGTGTGTGTGTGTGTGTGTGTGTGTGTGTGTGTGTGTGTGTGTTCAAATAGGGACAAGAGCAGGGAAAGAACCCCGCGTAGGATAGGAATGACTGTCCACAGCTACCCGTCATTTCTTACAAATGAGAAGTAACAGCATATAGCTGTTCTACTTCCCTACACTTGCCACCCTCCATCTTTCCACCTGCTGCCTTCTCTAGCTCTCTGCTGAGACCCTGGAGAAAAGGTGCTAATCCTCCCCTAATCAATAGCAATACTAATCACGAGCAACCAGCAACAATATTGACCCTGAGCTTTGCTGGCATTGCTCAGCGCCACCCTGTGCACACATTGAACTTTTGCATGCATCAATTTATTTAATCCCTGCACGCATCCCCAAAGAACAGGTTACCAGTCTCTTTGGCAAACGGGAAAACCAAGGTTCAACAAGTGACATGCCTCCACTAAAGTTGTGAGCTAGTAGTTAGGAGCCGTGTCCCTAGTAGAATCCATGTTCTCCATATACCAGCTTTTCCCGCACCTCCAGATACAGGGACCTCTGGCTACTGTGTCATTGATCTGGAGGTCCCAAACACAATATGGGTATCTGAAATAGAAACAGAGAGCCATGTGATAGAAGCCAGGGCCCACAGTGTGGGGACCACTATGTTGTTCTTGCCCCCTGTATATCATCATGGGGGACATGTTCAAGCTCTCTCAGAGCCCAGGGCCTGAATGTGCTCCCTACCCCCACCTTACCTTCCTCTATTCCTATAGCAGCTTCCTCCCACTAGCTGGGACACATCTTCCAGGGTGAGTGAGCAAAAGTATGTTACCTGTGGGTAGAGACTGGGAAAAGAATAAAAGAAGGAATGAGGGGTGGTCTGCCCTGGGAGCAGCTTCCATCATATCTTCCCACCTGCTTGCTGCCCAGGTTCTCTGTGTCTGTCTCTCTTATACACACACACACACACACACACACACACACACACACACACACACACACACAGAGAGAGAGAGAGAGAGAGAGAGAGACAGACAGACAGACAGACAGACACACACACACACACACACACACACACACACACACACAGAGCTCACACAAATTCTGCAAGCCCAGGAACCTGGAGAAAAGGAAGCTGCAGGCATTGTGAGAATAAGGCTCCCTGGGTCCTCAGGTACCCCTTCCACAGCTCGCACACAAGGGGTGGTCTCGTGTCTAAATGTGACCATAAGGATAGAAACAGATCCTGGGAGGGGTTGGGGGTGGGGAAACAGGTGGTGGCTCCCTTTCTTACGGGACATTCGGGATTATGGAAGATGGGGAAAGATAAGCAGTCCTGGGGCTTGAGTGTTGCTATAGTCAGTGGTGAAGCAGAGAAAATGGACAAGAAACATGACAGTTATAGAGACTGAAAGGTGGGGAGACAGAAGAGAAGTCCCAGCTCCCCTCCTCCCCTGGCTCCTTCATGGAAGGATGCTGACTACTTACCTGGGTTCTCTTAGCAGGACTGTCTTGGAATTCAGGAAGGGGACTCACTCTGTCTCAACCAGGATAAACCACAGTCCGGGCCACATTGTGGGACCCTCAGTGATCTGGCAGCCAGTGACACTCCTGCTCCTGTTGCCGTGGATACAGCCTGGTTGGTCTAAATTGCTGGCAGCAGAGGAAGCAGGTGCCAGAGGGGTGCACTTGGTAGAGCTGGAGATGTTGGGGAACACCAGGTGGGCAGCACACAGCTTTGGGGTGCCCAAGTAACGGGCAGGTGGGGGTCCTGGTAGGTGCTTCTCCCGCTACACACTCCCACCCCCATCTTCATGCCACCGCCAGTCTGGGAGGGGGCCAGCGCTGGCTCCGCTACTGGTCTGCCTGCCTGGCTGCCGGTTCCCCCCCACCCCCCACCCAGTCTGCCTGCTGGCCGCAGCCTTTTGTCCTCAGAAGACACGGTCCCAGCGGGGACCCTGCCAAGCTTCTAGCAGATGCTCAGGGTCCTGGACTCCTCACTGGGAGCACAAGAGCCATGGCCTGGGAGGGCCCCAGGTTAGGGGCACACTCTCATGCAGGCTAACCCCACTCTCCCGGTCTGGCGAGGATGGAGAAGAGGTGCAGGTCCACAGCCAGAGGCAGCAGCAGAGGTGGTGTTGGGGAGGGGATGGACGCCAGAAAGAGGGGGAGGGGTGGAGGGAGAGAGAGGCTGGCCTGATAGCCGTGTCCCAGGTTTTAGATCCGGGTTGAGAAGGGTGGCTCAGAGCATCCAAGGGGGGGTCCTGATGCGAGACGAAGGTATGGTGAACCTGCCGGAAGGACCTTCCTGTTCAGGGAATCACCCCGCTTCACACAGATCCAGGTTCCACGGTGCGGGGAACACCTAGCTTGGATAGGGTCTCAGTGAGCAGTCGTGGCCCCTTAGCTGGACCCTGTGTAGCCTGTTGGTCCTCCCCTCTCCTCGATTTGCACAGTCCCTGCCCGAGGGGCGGGTGGAGGAGGGAGGGAAGCAGGGAGAGCAAGGGAGGGAAGAAGGGAGGCTGAGCAGCCGGGGAGACTCCCAGCCACCAGCAAGGTCCTCCCTGGGGCGGGGCGGCTGGGGTTGGGGGAGGGGGCTGGCGAGACCGGGAGAACTTGGCTGGCTGGCTGACTGAATGGGGATACTTGGTATGGTGGCTGTTCTTGCCAGGACAATAGCTGGCTGACAAAATCAGGCTCAGGCCTTTCTGACTTGAGAGAAGCCTGCGTGGAGGTTAGGAGAAGTAGCCAAGAGGTTGCCGAGAAAGCAACTTGTTTAGGCTACTCGTGTAGGGAGGGCAGGGCTTGTAAAGGTCTGGGGTCTGGTTTTGGACAAAGATTTGGTGGAAGTTTCTCAGGTTTGGCATGGGAAGGCTTGGAAGATAGGGTAGATTGGGGTTCCATGGGTAGGGTCTGGAAGCTATTTTGGAGGGAGGTGGAGGAACAGTACAGACACCCAGCTCAGAATAGCCCCTGTCAGGGTATCCCCAATACTATTACTTTTTCTGGATCAGGAGGCAGGCATGAATCCATACTTAAGGTTGTGTTCCAGGACAGCATAAAGCGAAATATGAGAACGCCTGGTGAACAGAAATGTGAAGATCAGGGAATCCATTTCTGTTTTGAATCGGTATGAATGGGGACCCAACGATGCTGTAGTGGTTCCTCTAACTTCTAGCACTCAACAATTCCAATTCTGTTGACATACAAATTATTTTATTTGTTTTCTTCCCTCACTTGTTGGTTCCTTCATTAAATACAGCTTTATGCAGGTCCAGTGCGGGCCTCAGATGACTTGGGTGGATCAGACTTGCTGCCTGCCCCTGTGAAGCCCATGATCTACTACCAACCTGTGAGCCTGGAAGTCACGCACCTGCATCCGGATCCCTCTAGGCCTACTGTCTGGAAATATAAATCTGGTAGGTGGGAGAGGTGTGAACCATTTCTAGAAAACCTTCAGGTGGTTATTTTTATGTCTGTAAAATTTGGGCACCATGCTTTGGAAAGGGATAAAATCCTATGGATTGAACATAAATTCACATAGGAAATTAGGAAATACTTTGAACTGACCTAGAATGAAAATCCTCACCTGCAATCTTGGGAGATGCCTCTAAGACTGTGTGGAGGGAAGATTTTGTAGCTTTAAACTCATATATTTTAGAAAAGAGGAGCTGGATTTCTGTCTTAAGTTAGAAAAAGATAAAGGAGGGAAATGGTAGACTTACTAGAGAGCAATGGAGTAGAAAACAGAGCCACACCAAAGAAGATCAACAGCGTTAATGGTTCCGTGAGGAATTCCTGAGACATCGTGATTCAGACAATAAGAAAGCATGTAAAAGTATCAGGAACACTAAGTTATAATGAGAGGCTATTAGAATTACAATTTTATGCTTGCAAATTTCAAATTTTTGGCAGATAAAATTTACTAAAAGTCACAGAAAATATAGAATATCTGAGCAATCTTATAGCTAACTATTAAAGACACGGAATTTATAATTTTAAAAGGTTTATACAGAGAAATCTCCAGGTGCCTAGGGAGACGGTCTCAGTAAATAAGAACACTTGCTCGGCAAGCATGAAGACCTGAGTTCAAATCCGTAGCAACCATGTAAAAGGGTGGCATGGCTGTGCCTGCCTGTAATCCTACCACTGATGGGCAGAGGCAAGTGAACCCCTAGAACTTGCTGGCCAGTAAGCCCACCCAAAACACGGCGAGCTTCCAGTTCAGTGAGAGAGCCTTTCTCAAGCGAGTATGTGGAGAGCACAGACAAAAAGGACTGATTTGTTCTGCCCTGGTCTCTGTGTGCATGTACACATGCGCACACTGTCTGGGTCCAGAGGCTGTTCAGTAGTAAGTTCTGCTGCTTATTCAGAGAAAGCCCCCCACTAACTTTCTAATTTTACACAAATTCTTCAGGGGGTTGGGGAAAATTATGATTGTTCAACAGGTGCAAAAGGAAAGTACTTTAATAAGCAAAACATTCATAGCAAACTTAAGTTTCCTAAGAATTTAAAGAAGGTTATTAAAATGCCCTGGTTTCAGACTTCATACCTAATGGGGAAATACTGAATGCTCCCAGAGCAGAGTCACCTGGAAAGAGGGGGACTTCAATTAAGGAATTGCCTCTAGCACGCTGACCTGTGGGCATGTCTGCAGGGTAATTAGTGATTGATTTGGGAGGCCCAGACCGCCTTGGGCAGTGCCGCACCTGGGCAGGTGGTCTTGACTTGTATTAGAAAGCAAGCTGAGCAGGCCATGGAAAGCAGCTGGTAAGTGCAGCCCTCTGTGGTCTCTGCTTCAGCTCCGGCTTCTGTGTTCCTGACCTCCCTCAGTGATGGACCTGGACGTGCAAGACAAAATCAACCTGTTCCTCCTCACGCTGTTTTTGGCCAGAGTTTACTCCAGCAGCAGAAAAGCAAACTTGGACATTAAGTTTGCTTCCTAGGACTGGGAACAGGAATAGGCTGCCTATTATAAGCAGTATTATTCAAATTGTACTGAAGGTCTTGGTCAGTGCAAGGAAAATATAAAAAAGGCTCAAGATAAAAATTGCAGTCCTCCCCCTGGAACCCAGTGACAGAGATGGAGGAGTGATGAGCAAAGGCGTCAAGACTGTGCTGGTGAAACCCACAGAGACAGCTGATCAGGCAAGGGGGAGCTCTTGAACCTCAGACTGATGACTGAGAGGCCAACAGGGGACTGATCCAGGCTTCATGAATGTAGTGTCAGTGAGGAGGCCTCAGAAATCTCTGGGGCCTTGGGTAGTAGATTAGTGTTCACCATGGCATACAAATGAACTTTGGGAGCCCATTCCACATGGAGGGATGCTCTCTCAGCCTGGCCACATGGAGAAGTGCCTAGGTCCTGCCCTGTATGAAATAATAGACTCTGGAGATTCCACCAAGGAGGGCTCACCCTCCTTGGGGAAGGATGTGGGGATTGGGCTGGGGTTGGGTCTGGGAGGGAGAAGGGGGAGCTGGGATTGACATTTGAAGCATGCATGTTTCTAATTTAAATGAAAAATACTTTAAAAATTGCAGTCCAGGGCATGGGTTACCTCCCTATGAGTTTTTGGTCAAGGAAGCTCCAGGTGTCTCCAAAATAACACAGGCTATTGCTTTTGTCCTTGACTGCCCACTGTAACTCTATAGTAAGAGTCTATCACACACTTTTGTTGCAGGTGACAAAGAAATCAATCTCAAACTGAGCAGGAAATGTCTTCCTCCTTTCTGGCTAGCTTTCATACTGACAGAAGGTGCTCACTCGGCTGGTCAGCAAGGGAGAAAAACTATCAATGGACCTTGCGTGCTACAACTATGACCTGCCAGGCAAGAAGTACCTGCTGGTGCAGTAGTGCCACAGCTTTCATGAGGTAACTAAGCACTTTCTGATAGGACCTGAGGTCTGCTCCATAGAAGGGATTTTCATTCCAGGTATTGTAATTCTGGTCAAAAGCCGATGTCTGGGGAGGTCATAGAGCCTAGGGTAGAACCTGCTGTTATATTTTGCTAAATGGCCATGCTGTCAGATTGCTTTCTAAATATGATCATATTCTATTGCACATGTGTATGGAAGTCTCAAAAATAAAGATTTGAGATAAAAAGAAATTATAAACATTAAACATAGCTAATTTTTTTGTATTTTAGTTATAAAAAATAAAGCTGTCTGATAAAGAAGAAAAAAGACATGAGAAAAGTAAGCATGAAAATATTTACAAGTATGATTATAGAAAATTAAAATGTATTTAACGTTATTAGAATTAGAAAAACTATCAGGGTTATGAGACAGGTTTAATATAAACACTAGGCCTTTCTCCCTTTTAAATGCTCCCAATAATGAGTTAGAAAGATGAAGAAGACATTATTAAAGTCATTATTAAGGAAATCATTGCCGGGCTCTCTGTAATTTTGGAGCCTATCCTGGAACTTGCTCTGTAGACCTGGCTGGCCTCAAAAGATCCACCTGCCTCTGCCTCCCAAGTTCTGGGATTAAATGCATGAGCCAATACTGCTGGCAATGATTTCTTTAATAACGACTTGTTTTGGGGGATGGCCTATGGGACCTCACTGGCTAACAACTCTGAATCAATTCCTGAAATAACATTTTTCTCTTTTTTATTTTTATTTTTATTTTTTTTGTTTAAAAATTGTTTTCATACAATGTATATTGAACACGTTTTCCCCCCTCCTCCAGCTCCTCCTACATAGTGCCCACTTCCTTAGCCACATAACTTCATGTGCTCTCTCTCTCTCAAAAAAAAAAACAGGAAAAGCAAAAAACAAAAATCAAAACAAAGAAGAAAATCAATAAGGGAAACCCCAAGCCAAATCAGTACAAAACCAAAACAAAGTATGCACAAAAAACCATGGAGTCCTTTTTGTGTTGGCCAACTAGTCCTGAGCATGGGGTCTGTGCTGGAGTGCGGTTGATATTCCCAGTGACACTCCATTGAAGAAAGCTGATTTCCCCCTACTCAGCAGGTATTTAGTGCAAATAGTTTCTCGGTTAGGGGTGGGATTTTGCGTTCACTTCCCTTTCTCAGTGTTGAAATTTGGAGGTCTTGTGCATGTTGTCTCAGTGTCTGTGAGTTCATATGTGGCTATTTCCTGGGAGTCACCCACCACCCCTGGTTCTTTTCTTTTCTTTCCTATAGACCACTAATCCTTGAGTTTAATAAAGACATCC